GGGCTTCACTCGTCAGACTGCGTGAATCGTGAAGATGCCACTCAGTGAAAGAGAGGAAGGTCACACTTAAGCGGATGCAGGAAAAGACAGACAAAAAGAACGTTAGAACAATCACACGATTTTTGGCAAAGCATCCCGAACGATAATGTGCGCTATTCTCTGCAGGGCACCCCCCAGCGGAAAACACACAAAAAATATTATAAAAAGTTCACTTGTCTTGTAAGCTTTCGGAGTGCTACTTTTGTGGCCTTATTTTCGGAGTGAATAAAGTCCGGAATCCAGGACCGACACCCGTGCCCAAAACAAACATCTTTGGGAAAATAGAACTCCTTGCTTACAAAACTGAGCAGTGTCAACTATTTCAACTCAAGTGCTGGTTCCACAATGACTGACAGCATTCATACAAGTTATAAAAGTCAGGAAGACACACCTGAAATACAACACCGAGGATGAACCTGAGTGGGGCGGGGAGGCCTCGTGCTCAGACTGGCATTTGATGTGGCCAAGAATGCACGCTGGTATCCCGAAGGCGCGCACTGGGGGCGCCGACATTAGACCAGAAGGGTCTCTGATTACGGCCTCCTTCTGATCTCGTCGTCCCAGTCGAAATCCAGGGCGTCATCCTCTAGCTCTGGCAACGTGAAGAGAGGGTTTCTGGAAGCCGTGAGGTTGCCGGCGGCTCCTCCGAACTGGAAAGTCCTCCTCTTCCGGCCAGGCGCTGCGGCCGCGGCTGCAGGAGGCGGGCTCAGGCCTCCTGACTCAAGCCCGTTCTTCTCTGCAGGCGGAGTAGGGGGGTCCTGGGATTTGGAGCCAGAGGCGGGTGAGAAGGAGAAGTTTGCCAGTTTGGCTAATGTGCCAGCATGAACCTTGCCGCTTTTGTGTTTGCAAGCATCCTCTTCCTTCTCGCTCTGACTCGTAAGACGAGCCGACCCCGTTTGACCCCCCAGCTCACTCTGAATAACTCTCTTTTTCAGGGCACAATCCCTCCTCTCTATCGAGCCCCCTTTCCCAGGGGGCTGCTGTGAAGCCTCCTCGCCTGTACTCTGCCCCGGACCCGAGCGGGTGCTTTCCCGGGAAGCTCTCAGCTTCTCTGGGGCCTTCCCCGGCAGAGCTGCTTCCCTTCTTGCTCTGGGCGGGGGCATCGTAGGACCAGGACCTGGAACTTTGGCTGTGCTAGGAGACATACGGCTGCCGTCTTCTGGGGAGTGGGTCAGTTTTGACTTCTGTTTGAAAGTAAATTTCGCCAGTTTGGCCACAGTGGGACCTGGACTCTCATCCCCATCAAGTTGGGGCTCTTCGACTTGAGCAAGGGATTTCTGTCTCTTTCTTTTGGGAGTCTCCCGTGTTCCTTCTCGGCTCTGAGGGCGAGACAGCGGGGAGGGCTCCCTGGCAGGATCTTGGCAGTGCTGCGAGTGCAGCTCAAGCAGATTCTTCGGGGCGTGCTGAGGCGGTACTGGGTCTGGCTCACCTGCAGGTACCGCTACTTCAGAAACCATTGCTGCCTTTTCTCCCCGAGCATGAAAAGTCTTGTCTGGCCTCGATGGTGTGTCTGCCTTTCCTGGTGCAGGAAGCTGTCCACCTTCTGATTTGCTCCTTCGGCCGGGGCCACGCTTTTCCTCGCCCTGCGATCTGTTGTTGGGCAGTTTCGAAGCCATTTCTTTCTCAGTTGCTTTGGGCCTGGGAGACACATGAGCCACGGTTTCCAGCTCAGTCTGGGGAGGCGCCATGGAGGCACACCAGTGTGTACCGTTGTCTCTGCTTCTCAGGGGCTCAGCTCGGTGACTTTCACGTGTGGATCTGCTTGGCCCCAGATGGGGTGGGAGATTTAGAAGTAGGGTTCCCCCAGAACTGCCTCCAGGAGAGGAGGTAAGCATGCTACAGTTGATTTCCTGCTTTGTGGAAGTTCGGAACTCCAGCTCTTCCCCTGGCTCATTTCTCAAGGATTCTGGAGGGGTGTCCACCTCCTCTGGCTCTGGCTGAGACTGGGGCCCACTCTGATTCTGTAGCCTGTAGCAGAAATGCGAGAGGGAAGCAAGGATGAAGGCAAGGCTTTAACCTTTTGATTCGTTAGTTTCTGAATGCTGTCTAAAGAGGTCAATCAGACGTTAGTACATCGTCTCTTAGAGTAGCAGCAGGGAGAACAGTATCTGCTCGTACCAGTAGAGAGTTAAATATTCTAGTGAAAACAGCCAACCAACCAAACTCACCGGCATCGAGTTGATGGGACTCATAGCAACCCTCTAGGACAGGACAGAACTACCCCTGTGGGTTTTCAAGATGGTAACTCTTTATGGAAGCACTCAGTTCTGCTTTTCGCCCGAGGGGCAGCCTGCGGTTTTGAACTCTTGATCTTGCGATTCGCAGCCTAACCCGTAACCACTACATCACCAGGGTTCCAAAGGTTCTGAGAAGCCTTCTGATTTAACTTTTAACCATCAGAAAGGAAGACCGCAGAATAGCTAGTCAGTCTGTCTACATTTCCAGATGGCTCTCGAAGCGAAGTGCAGTGCATTCCTTTAGGACTGTAGAGTGTGCCTGTTAGACCTGTCGCTCTTTGCGTGGTAGCATGTCACTAACCAAGGAGGCAGCTGTTCCAGTTACTTAGTAGCCAGTTTGCAGGTAAGAAGCAAAGTGAAAGACCCAAGATTCGGCTCCATCTCATCTCTTTACCTAATTGAAGTACACATGTTAGCACACCTAAGGCATCACCTTACTCAGGAGGCAAGGATTTATGATGCGTCCAGACCGGGATTCGTGCTGTCACCTCTGGCACCCGCGTCCGCAGGCCATTGTGACACATTTTCCTGCTAAGTCCAGCCATGTTTTCACGTATGTTTCAAGTAGTCACTCTCCACCATTTTGAGAGAAGAAAAACCCTCTCTGAATGACATTTCTGGGCAGTGGTACTCACTTTAAATTTTGGCATGCTTCTTCCCTATCAGCAACGATGGGTAAATAAAATCAGAAATGAGCCTAAAAGCACCGATTTCTAACAAAGCAGGTCCTTTAGAAATCCCTTCCTAACAGCTCAGAAAACACGTCTTTTTCATTATCAGATGTAATTTAAGCCCACTTCCATGTAGTAAATGTGAAAATAAATTAACCAAAAAGATGAATAGTAAATTGTAAAATTACTTGAGGTTAGCAGTTCGAACCACCAGCTACTCTGTGGGGAGAAAGATGAGGTTTTCTATTCCTATAAAAATTTAGTCTCAGAAACTCACAGGGAAAGCTCTATTGTGTCCTATAGGGTCATTATGAGTCTGAAATGGCTCAATGGATATGCATTTTTTTGAGTTAACATACTTTTCAGCACTAAATTGTGATCAGGTATATTCATAATGGTTAACTCTCTCAAAACAATGTCCTACAAGACCTATGTGACCAGACGTCCCGCTTTTGGCAGGACAGTCCCAATTTTTAACAATTTTTCCCGCTTCCCGCAGCGTTTTTAAAAAGTCCCAATTTTTGGAAAGAATGCATGACAAGCTAGGGTATACAGTTTTTGGCTGCCATGTGGCTATTTCACCAGGGTATGAGTTTTATCAATGGTGTCCCGCTTTACCAATGTTAAAATCTGGTCACTTATACAAGACAGTGAATTTAAAGGAGCTAAATAATATAACCCTCATTATATTAGTTCAAGTCTTGTATCAACTCAATTCTCTCCTACGTAAAATCTCTGCAGTTTTACTAGAACATCTGTGTGATGTTTTAAATTTAAGGCATGTAGAACATCCAGTGTTTGAGGCCGACTGTCACTAGGAAAACCTTTTTCCAGAAGAAAAGGGTGATGAAAGCACAATATTAATGGCTTTATCATAATATTATCATATGGGACTTTTTCCTAAGGGGGAGAAGTCTACATGCCACTTGGGTTTTCTCACTGGGTAAGATCAGCTTGAGGTTGTTGTGCCTTGGATGTAATTCACCTTCATTTCCACACCTGGTTTTGTTGCTTGGAGGGTCAGCACATGCCTTCACATTACAAAGATGTAGCAGGGAAGATGGACATTTTAACATCTATCGTTTATACCACTGGTTATCAACCTTCCCAATGCCGCAACCCTTTCATACAGTTCCTCATGTTGTGGTGACCCATGACCATAACATTATTTTCATTGCTACTTCATAACTGTAATTTTGCTACTGTTATGATTGGGTGACCCTTGTGAAAGGGTCATTCGACCCCCAAAGGGGTCGTGACCCACAGATTGAGAACCACTGTGTTAGACCTTCATCTACTGTTTTTTCCCAGTCCGGACTTTCCTGAATCCAACATACGAGGGGGTAGCCAAAACACACTGGAAAAAAGCTCTGCTGGGCAGAGCTTTCGAGGTACACATTTTTCCCACTAGGCGAGCATCAAGGAACACGCTCTGAGTTAGTGCACCCAGTGGCGTCACCTGGGAGAGTTCTCTCTGGTCACAGTGCATTTTTTCATAAAAGCAGTTTGGCTTGAACTCCTTTCTTTGTGATGGCCAATTTAAGAGAACAGCATGTGGCTGTGAAATATTGTTTCCTGTTCAGGAAAAATGCTTCAGAAACTGTTGTGATATTGAAAACAGCTTACAAGAACACTACTATGGGGAAAACTCAAGTGTACAAGTGTTCTTCTCATTTCAAAAAAGGTGAAATGTTAACTGATGACAAACCTCATTCTGGACGTCTGTCAACTTCCCAAAGGGATGGAAATGTCAACAAAATTTGTGCACCTGTGCTCGAAAGCCCAATGACAGACCACTGAAGAGATGGGGAAGTTATCTGGAGCTCGGTTCAGCAAATTTTAATGGAAGATTTGGGAATGATAAGGGTTGCTGCGAAACTTGTGCCTCGGGTTCTGACTGATCAGCAAAAAAAGAGCTTTGACTGGAAACATGCCCATGCTTTGAAAGAACAGCTCTGAAGCCACCTAGACTTTCCCTGCCCCCAAGGTCACTGATAATGAGACATGGTGCTATTCTTACTACCTGGAGAGCAAACATCAATCAAGGAAGATGCCATCGTCACCTTGCCCAGTAAAATGTTACCAAGTTGTGGTAGTTATATAATCGTTTGTCAGTTTGAGAATTAAGAATGTAAGGTTGGAGTCTAGCCTGTCAATCAGATCAAAGCCAATGAGGCCTCTGTGTAGGCATGGCCTTCTCCTGAGAATTCTCGAAGAAATACTGGAAGAAATCGGTAATTTCTTCCTGTGAGGCAGGAGACACTTCTCTCACTCTGCTCATTTCCTTGGAGACTCAACACTGACAAGGCTGATTCCCTGCAAGACATCTCTTAGGAGAAGCCACATGGACCTACCCGGATGCAGCCTAGGGTGCTGGAGAAGCCACGTGGAGACCCCTATCAGGGATGAGATGCTTACAATGCTACTGGATCCAATAATTTTCTACCCACTGGCCGGTAATTGTCCTGCATTCAGCATCACTGCATGTGTTTCGTGAGTCTGAAGAGGACTTTATAGATGGTATTGGACATATAGGCTTGGACTGGGCTAGGGTGCTGGAGAAGCCACGTGGAGACCCCTATCAGGGATGAGATGCTTACAATGCTACTGGATCCAATAATTTTCTACCCACTGGCCGGTGATTGTCCTGCATTCAGCATCACTGCATGTGTTTCGTGAGTCTGAAGAGGACTTTATAGATGGTATTGGACATATAGGCTTGGACTGGGCTGGGCTGTTTTCCTTATATTCAATTGGTCTTGTATATAAACCTCTTCCTTACAGACATGAGTGTCTCTATGAATTTGTTTCTCTAATCAATCCAGACTAACACACAAGTGAAATCTCAAATCAAGACAATGTTCATTTGTTTCTTTGATGTAAGGGAGATTGTGCATTTGGAGTTTGTTCCACCAGCTTTCTATTTAGAGGTTCTGAAAAGATTACCTAACCGTTTGCAACCAAAAAGGCCTGATTTGAGGCAGATGGGGGACTGGTTTTGCCACCACAACAATGCACTTGCTTATGCAGCCATCTCAGTGTGCAAGTTTTGGGCAAAAACAGCATGTCTCTCTTGTCCCACACACCTTACTCACCTAACCTCACTCTGTGCAACTTCTTTTTGTTTCCACAAATGAAGAGGAACATGAAAGGACAGAGATTTGATAATGCAGAGAGGTGAAGAAAAAAATGAGGGAGGTGCTGTCAGCCATCCAAACAGATGAGTTTGAAAAATGTTTCCAAGAATGGAATCGCAGATTTGACTAATGTATGAAATGTAATGGAGAACACTTTGAAGGTTACTTTATATTTTTAAAAAATCAAATCCATAGCTTTAGAAAAAAAATTCCACTTTTGGGGGGGATACCCCCTCATACATCAGTCGGTAGTAACTTAGGACAGTCAGAAGTAGTAAACCTAGCCCTGGGAACACAGAGAGCTCACAGCAGAATGCAGCTGTGAATGTCCTCCCAGTTGATAATAGCTGATCAGAGACAAGTCTTCCCCACTGAACCTTGTCTGAGTTCCTGACTCCCAGATACTAAAAAATACATATATTTTCTCACTCTTTCTTTTTTAATAAGCCACTGAGTTCTGGGAAAGGAGCCCTGGTGGCACTGGGCTAAGCACTGGGCAGCAAGATAACCAGAAGGTTGGTGGTTCAAACCTACCGACCACTCCAAGGGAGAAAGCCTATAGAGAGTTACCGTCTTAGAAATCTTATATAGGGTTGCCATGTGTCGGAATCAACTTGATGGCAGTGGGTTTGGGGGCTGATGGATCAGACTTGTACAGCAACAAATAACTGAGAACCCTCTCAGTGGAATCGTACAGGCAGATACTCCCCTGAGTTCGCCAAACAAGGGCCCCACCAGACCCTCCGTCTCCCTTCCTCACCTTTCAAGCCTTCTTAGTTCTTCACTCAAGAGGTTCTGCAGCTCGAGCTTTTCCAGAATCAGCTCGCATTGCCTCTGGTACTGCTCCACAGGGTTGTCAGGAAAGGCAGTGTGGAGTGCATTCACGCCGCCGAGCAGTGCACCTCCCTTCGCGGTGAGAAAATGAGACATCAAGGAGAAGTGACCAGGCCATACAAGTAAGTCGACACTAGAGCCCCCTGAGCAGGGACTAAGATCAGCCCCCTCTACCATCCATCTGGGTGCCAGAATCAACTGGCAGGGTTTTTCAAGTATAATATCTTCTCCCCATTTCTTGTTGGCAACTACTGTTCTGTAAAGGCACACTGTCACTAGTGGGAGCACGGGCATCCCTCAGGTAAGCTGATGGAGAAAACACATTGAGATCAATTGGCAAACACAAAGCCACGAAGGTAATGACCGTTTCCTTAACATGGTTTCGCTTCTTTTAAATGGTTTTCTTTTGGGCGTGTTTTCTGAAATTATGCAGTTTAGAATATGTTTAGATGTAGGGAACCCATGGAGAGGTCTGAGGGGCTGGCCCCAATCCCAGCTACTACGTGGACACCTGCCCCTCCCCCTCAGAATTTATTTCAAAGGACGGCATTAATTCTGCAGCTTTGGGAGAGGGACATATCTGATCGGAGCACATGGGAGCAGATGAAGGGGGAGGAGGAGAGACTGGGGCACATCCTGGCCCACCAGGCCTTGAGGACGATGTTCCCGATTAGAGCAGCCAGTCCACAGAGAGGACCACATAGCTGGCCCCACTATGAGACATGACGTCACTCACTGACCCATGACCCTGCAGGGGACAACACCGGAGACACAGTGTGGAAATTGTGCCAATCTGATCCTGCAACACCGAGGTAAAACACTAAGGGGGTGCAACAGAACAGCATGGGAACGGAGTGAGGTCCCCAGGGAATGCTGAAGGTGACCTTTGGGGCCAGGGTGTGGTATCCCAACAGACTGGACTGGAAAATACTCCTAAAGGCCAACAAACGATCCTTGAATTAACTACAAGCTTTTATTTCTTGTTGTGTTTTACTTTATATTTTGTCATTGGTTTGTTGTTGTTGTTTTGTTGTAATTTGCTACTTGGTTTTGCTCTGTCTTGTTTTTGTGCATGTTATTATCTCCGCAGGTCTGTCTAAATAAGATAGGCTGGTTGAACAATCTGGAGGAAACAACGGGACGCACAGTTCCGGGGGGACATGGGAGAGGGGGAGGTGGGGGGAAAGGTAGTGGTGTTAACAAACCCAGGGACAAGGGAACAAGGGATCCAAATCGGTGGTGAGGAGGGTGTAGGAAGCCTAGTTGGGCGTGATCAAGTGTAATGTAACCAAGACGAATTACTGAAACCCAAATGAAGCCTGAGCATCATAGTGGGACAAGAG